GGAGGGATATAGAAAGGATAAGTGCACTTTCTATGAAAGTGCACTTATTCTTTTGGTCATACCAGGAAGACATAAAATAATGCTTTTTGAGAAAAGAAAAGCTTTCAGTGGACAAATCACCGTTTTACGATTTCACACCTTTGTGGTATTTATACAAGTACATGGAATGTTTTCATGAGAAGATTATTATAAGATAAAATAAATAGATTAAGATAAAATAGCCATTGTATTATTATTATACAGGATTTATATAGCGCCAACAGTTTGCGCAACGTTTACAATATAATGAAGACATTACAATCACAATACAAATCAAGGCAAGATGGTAAGGAGGGCCTATTTCATAAAGGGGGCACCCAGATACTGCCCCCCTTTGTGAATGAGTAAGGGGTATTTTTTTCCCGTTTTTGGGTGATGGGGTTCCCCCTTAAAAATCCTACCAGACAAAAAAAAAAAAAAAATCCTACCAGACCTAAAGGGCCTGGTATGACTTTCGTAGGAAACCCCTTGCAGTTTTTTTTTTTTAAATTCACACCATTTTTTTTGCTGTTTGCTTACATTTTGCGGGGAGAATGGTCTGCTTCGGCAGACTGTTCTCCCCGCTTTGGCTGTGTCTTCGGTACAGCCGAACGGAACGCATATGCTTCGCGTCGGCTGAGCGATTTGAGTGCTGTACGGGCTATTGTGAATAGCCTGTACAGCAGCCCTTTGGTTTGATTTAACTGAAAGGCTCCTATAGCTGAAGTGATCTGAAGGATTAGCCGAAGGTTCGGCTATATCCTTTGTCTCTTTAGTGAATAACCCCCTTAGTAATGAACGTATAGCTGCAGTTGCAGCTAAATGTAAAATACATGATGTGTTTTGAAGTTCAGGTAGACAAACAACTCAGCCTTAATACAAAACACAAAAATTCCCCAGCCCCAACCTGCCAGCTAGCCTGCAACCAAACAAGTAGCCCTGTCAACAGTATGCGTTAAAATCAGAGGTTTTAGTTGCACAAACTTTTGGCCAAAAATATGTAGAAGCCACACTGCCGCGCCAAGGCACCTCTGCAAAGTGTGGTCCTAACTCTATGTATCCGAGTCTCCAAGTGTGAGCATATTAATGAAGTTGATAAATTACATGCAGGTGTACCTGGAGGTAGCCAACTCCTCCTGATAAGGTGCAGGGACGCACTGGAGGCCCAGCAACCAAAAATGCACGCTGGCACTCCAGTGCGTCCCCCTAACCCAAAATAGTCAAACTAGAAAAAATGGTACATGCATGAATCTATAACCGGCCTTTATAGCAGGGCGCACATTGGGAAGACTCAGCATTGCCTGCCTGTTACTCTTCTGAGAATATAATTTACCAAGAGTTTAGGTTCTTATGTGTCATTCATTCTAAATGCCTGCTAGGCACTGTCTCTTATGTTATTACATACTATATATACAAGGCATCAGTACAGGTAGCATTTCATAACAGTGTTTTTGAACGTTTTAGTTCTAAGTGCAACTGTCTTATCATTACAAATATCAGAAATTAAAACATGAGCCCTACAGATTATCTAGGTCTGTCAAATCATATTAGATTCCAGCATACAAGACAAACTTTATTCACAATGTAAGTTTCCTTTTTACTGTGCAGAATTGTAGTCTATCAGAATTTGCAAGATTATGATGATGCTAAATATTTATTTACAGATCACAGTAGGCATGACTTGGCAGGATCTACTAACACATGTTCCTCCTTGAAATAATCGTGTTTGCTGTATTAACATCATTCCCTAATGTTAGAATCACGAAGCATGTGCTACTCCTTCACAATTTGTCACTTGTTTGTCATTGGTTTCTCCCTCATCTCATATGTGAAATGTATAGTGAACAAAAACATTAATATTCTAGTTTCTGCATGCTTACCTCTTGAAATGCAACCTGATCCTTATCTAATTAAGTTAAAATTAATTTAAAATAATAACTGAAGTATCAAGATTAAAAATATTATTAGAAAAAAAGTATATAAACCTTTACATTTAGTAACTAGTGATCGTTCATTTGATGGCAATAACCTTGACCAGTGTTTTCTACTAATGATGTAACCTGCACAGCTCTAGACTAAGCCATTCTAAAATTTGTAATTTATTCTTCTGTTCAAGCCACTCTGGTATTATTTACTCCAATGTTTTGGGATATAGTCATGCTGCATAACCAAACCTTGGAGATTTAGATCACAGACCAGAGGCTCTGACACTCAGCTGCATAATTTATTGGTCCCCTGGTGATTAAATGTCATACAGGCCGAGGCACCATATAAGCGCTGCCTGCATCTCCAGACAGCACAGTAAGGAGTTTGACTATCCCCACGCATGTGCACTGTACTGTACTGTCACTCCCACGCTGTTGAAAGCAATATATCCTACGCATTCTACCCCCACGCATGTGCAGTGTACTGTCACTCCCATGCTGTTGAAAGCAAAATGTCCTATGCATTCTACCCCCACACATGTACAGTATACTGCCACTCCTATACTCCCAATGCATCTTTGTGCACATGCGCAGTAGTGACTGGTCTGTATTGCCACTGCTGCACATGCGTGGGATCTTGCTGCCATATTTCTGTCATCATAATATAGCGACAATATATTGCACAAGGCTAAATACTGCCACTATAATGTGATGTCAGAAATATGGCCGCCCTTGCGCAGAAAATCACTTCCATATTGAACATATTAAGCATTGATGAGGATTGAAACATCGGGACCATGGGGCAATTAACTGGGCAAACATGGGGATTTACACATATTACTGACCATGCATGGGCCATATTGTTTTTTCCACAGCTACACAAATATAGTGGCTCTAATTGTGCATGTGCAGGCCACAGAGCTGAGTCAGAAAAAGATGAAAGGTGTGGCTTAATAGATGTGTGAATTTCCAGAACTACTAGTAGCACTTCTTCATATGCCTGTCTTCTCACCTTTCTGCCAGCAGCCCCACCCAGCTACTGCAGTGAAGGAGGAAGATGACCTCCATAGAAAACTGAAAGGTGTTTGGTGCGTGGTACATATCAGTTTAATCACAGCTTGAGGGGGACTTTTGCACATGTAGTGTAGATTCCACTCTCCCACATGTTCTCACTACCCTACAAACATTAAACATTAAACCCCCCCACTCTCCCTACTCTGCAAGCACGACACACTCACTCATGCTACTGTGCCAGCAATAAACACTCCTATTATTATCATGCCTTCACACAAACCCATCTTCACCATCAACACTCTGTAATCGCGCCCCCCCTACACACTTTCAAAAACTACCAGTACACTTGCACACCCCATTCACACCACCACACCCGCCTGTTGACTCACTCTGAACACTGCACCTGTCCTCTATCCCACTCATAACCAATCCTGCAAGGCCCTTTCCACTGTCACCTCCACACCTGCCCCCATTCCAGCTGCCACTATGCCATCGCCACCCTGACTCCACCTCAATCCTTAACCTTGCCCGTTCTGGAATGGGCAACACTTTTGCTAAAATGGCAGAGCGCCAGCGCATGCTGAAGCGCACAGTGCGCAGAAGTCGCCAACTGTCTGCAGAGTCAATAGCTACAGACCTCCAAACTTCATGTGGCCTTCAGATTGGCACAATAACAGTGCATAGAGAGCTTCATGGAATAGGTTTCCATGGCCAAGCAGCTGCATCCAAGCCTTATATCACCAAGTGCAATGCAAAGCGTCGGATGCAGTGGTGTAAAGCACGCCGCCACTGGACTCTAGAGAAGTGGAGACGTGTTCTCTGGAGTGACGAATCACGCTTCTCTGTCTGGCAATCCAATGGACGTGTCTGGGTTTGGCGGTTGCCAGGAGAACGGTACTTGCCTGACTGCATTATGCCAAGTGTAAAGTTTGGTGGAGGGCGGATTATGGTTACTGATGGGGGGACGGGCGTGTTCGCAAGCGCCTCGTGTCGAGCCCCCCAGGAAGCTGTCAGCGCGCAGGGCCGATCACAGGCACTGAGACATTTTCCCGGTCCGCAGCTGCAGAGACCGGGAAATGTTTCAGTGCCTTTGATTGGCCCTGCTCGCTGACAGCTTCCTGGCGGGCTCGGCACAAGGTGCTTGCGAACACGCCCGAGCACATCACTAATTATGGTGTGGGGTTGTTTTTCAGGGGTTGGGCTTGGCCCCTTAGTTCCAGTGATGGGAACTCTTAAGGCATCAGCATACCAAGACATTTTGGACAATTTCGTGCTCCCAACTTTGTGGGAACAGTTTTGGGATGGTAGGTGCCATTGGCTGGATCCACAATCTGGCTATAGGTTTTGTGGCCATGTATAGGGTTTCTTGGACGAAAACAGAAGCGTATTTCTCTAAATCTGAAACACAGGGTTTACCTGTCTTTATGCAATTTTTTTAGTTATTTTTTTTACTATAACAAGGGGGCTTATCAGCCCCCTTTGACAAAGTTCAGAAACAGTAACATGTACTGTTTCTGCCTCCAGCTAGTGCAGTTTGGGGACACAGAGTCTGTAGTCTACAGCTTACAATGGACGGTCTGCTGTCATCGAGATTCTGACTGCTCTGAACTCAGAATTGCTCAAAGCTGACCACTTCTATGTTCATTGAGCCTTGAGGAGATCAGTGAATAGGAGTTCACCAATCTTCCCTCCCTGTCTCCATCCTGAATGCTCCTACAGTGGTCCCAAGCTCACAGGAGCAAGTTGAGCCTGTGGACCGCAAGGGGGGACTAGGCTTTGCAGTCCTTTTTTGCCAGGAACAAGCGCTATTTCTTTCACAGCGGAAATTACAATCATACTCCATTTTAGATTTTAGATCTGTTACTGTACATATGGTAGCACTCTCCCGGTTCATACTGTGCCCAGATTGGCATAGTTGGGTATATAAAAAAAAGAGTAGTCTTATTCCAGGTTTACACACGGTTGCCACCTGTCAAACCCTTGCGTTTTAACAGTTAACAGTTACTCGAATGTCTTTATTAATTGTCACCCTTGCACTTTCAGGCTATGGACAATCTGGCCCACTGTTTAAAAGAGCTGGGTATGATGCTGTAGCTTGTGCAATGTCTGGATTAATGCATATCACAGGACCAGAGGTATGACTTTTGCAGTTTTCTATTTTTTGGCAAAGCTTGGTTATTTTATGTAAACTTGATAACGATTAAAACAAAAACCTTTGAACATTATATTTAAGTCTTGTACCAGATTTTCTCAAACATGGGCACAGGTTCATTTGAAATGGGTGGTCTGTCTGTCAAGTGCTTTTGGATTGTAGAATGGAATTCCGTGACATTTTTTAAAGATTTTTTCAGTTCATGTGGATGAGTAAAACAGTTTTATTTTTTAGGACAGAATTATTTTAGAAATTGGAATACATTCACAGTAATAAACGTCAGACTTAGTTTTTGGATTGCAAAACATCTTGTGTAAGCCTTTTTTTCTCTTTATTTTTTCTCTTGAATCTGGCCATAGTTATGTGAGAAAATCTCTGAGCTTAGCATTTCTTACTTTATTTGGTTGTGCCACTGACTGTAAGAGTGCAAAGAAAGCATCCAATAAATAAAATAAATCTTAAGGGGGTTATATTCTGCTAAGGGGTAAGTCAAAGTAGCTGCTGAATGTTGAAAAGCAAGTAACTACTAATTTTAGTTGAAATATTTTACCTATGCTCTTAAGTGTTCATTTGCTACAATTTTCCCCCCAGTATGATGTAATGAAATGTAAAGGTACTGTATTGTACAGAAATAGTGTGATGTACAACCAGATTCCAACTGATTTTTCTAGTGCAGGTTAAAAAAGGAAAGTCAATGGATTATTTTGTTTCTTTTTATGTTTTGTTCTACAAGGTTCAATACTACCAAATACCTAATTACTCTTTCTTGTTGTAAAACCAAAACTTTTATTTTTTGTTGGATTGTGTATGGATAGATGAGAATCCCTGTTTTTTTCCTTGCTTTGGAGAGATCTTCCTGCTGTAGCTCTGAGACAAAAAATAAAGGAAAATCTGCCTGTTAGGACACAGATAGGAAACAAAAGCTTACAGGTGTCTTACTCATTCACTAATATATTCAGAGCTAACAAAAATTGGCTATACACTTTTATTTAACTTTTTTTCCAGCCATTTAAAAAAAATGTTTCTCATTGTGTTATTTTTGTTTGTACATTTTCTTAAGGAACATCATTGCCTGCCTGTGTCCAGAGTGTGTTCTAGTACAGATGCACTATTCTGTCTACAGTGAAGCCTAGGTATAATTAAAAGTGCACGAGAGCAGACATCATCAATGTTAGATATCGCCCACTGCTCTGTGCAGCAGGTGCTTGTGATCTAGGTAAAAAAATGCAGCTCTACAAAATGATCTAGGAATTCTGGTGGAAGGTGCTGTGTTGGTATTTGAACAGATAGACACGTAAAGCTTTTCCCCATTCCCACTGGAATCGTTCCTAACCATCACAGACACTGCTGGCACATTTGCTTGATAGAAAGAAGAAGCCTCATGGTCAGGGTGTAATGTTAGCGACAGTCCTTCTCCCTTTTATCCTCTTTGAAGTGCTGACCATCCTGTTCCTTTTGTTCCGAACTTTCTTCTGCAGCATATTCCACCATAAAGGTCCCCAATAGGAGCAAGCAGAGTGATCTGGCAATCTTGATGTGCGGTAAATTTAGAATTTTACAAATTTCCTGTTGGAGGTGAACTTGTAGGAACCCTTAAAGGCTATTAGCACCCTTAAAGTAGAATGAAAGTCTTTTTTTGGCAAATATTATCATATATATATAATATCATCATATATTTTATTGCTCCCGAACGGCTGTGAAGGAGGAAGGGGGCGGGCACATCCGCAGTAGAGGGCAGGGGAGAAAAGAGAACATGAAAGTGAATGGACGCAGCCAGGCAGCCAGAAGTGCGTACGGCGGACAGACCCCGTGGGAGACTAGGAGTCTACGCTGGATCCGAGACAGGCACCAGCGCTGGTGGCTTAAGCCTTAAATGTCACTTTAACAACCACCAAAATGTTGCCTTCCCCATTGACACCAATGAATTGCACCGACAATTCTAAATGTTTTTTGTTTTGTTGGTGTGAAATGTCACAATTCCACTCAGGCTAGACCTCAGCATCAACACAAAGGCTGTTTTAAAAATTCATTAATACTTTTCATTATTATGAGCAATTTTTTCTAGTATTAGTAGAAAAATGAGGGGCTTTTTTATTATTTATATTACAGTTGCATGCATTATAAAGCCAGCTCTCTGAAAAGTCCCAATAGAAGGCACATATATTGTTCATTAGCTACAGCTTTATGAGCTCAAAAGAAGTGAAATGTCTCTACTTTGTTACTGTGGTGCATATTTGATCAGCTGATAGAAGTGGTTAAACATTTTCAATGGAATCATGATATTGTTGCTGATTACCTCGTAAAAAGGGAAGACTGTTTTGTCTTTGTAGATTAAACTATTTTAGTGATATCAAATCTGCTAATTTGTCTAATTTAGCCTACCTCTTTGCTATAACTGAAACCTGTTTCAACATTTCATAGTTTATTAAGAATTTCTACATCCTTTCATACTTTGTTGCATTTTAGTGTCACTGGGCTTCTGCAGCCCTATCTACATGCATGCATTCCAGCAATGGCTGCACGGTAATTCTCAGGTCTGGTTTCCTGTTGGTAACAACAGTGGGCTATGTCTTTGTAATGCTTGTAGAATCTGCCACTTGAAGTCTCCATCAGAAACCTCTGTGACAGGGTAACAGCACAGGAGCACAGTTGGGAGACATGGACAGAGCGTTCCAGGGTTAAACTCTATTCAGCCCATCACTGTATTGTTATATGAGGTGTCACTACCTGTAAGGACTCCAGTTTTACATTAATAAAATTGCGTTCCATTCTCTTAAAATATCTCTTATTCAGTTTCAAGTACTCAACAATGCCACTCTCTCGTTCCATTGTTAGTCTCCAAAGTCCCTTATGCAACTACTAGAAAAACTTTTTGCTTTATAGTTCCTTTGGGTATGTATAGAACATTTCTCAAGCTTGGATCATAAATACTTGTTCCTGCTTGAAAGATCCTTTGCTGGCTCACACAAGTTTTACGTCATCCATATTTATCATTTGTAGAAAGTGTCTAAATACACTTTGGACTGGCAGAGGCGTCGGGTAGGGGGAGCGTGCTGTGCCAATGTAGGTTGTATGTGTGTATTGTTGCGGGTTATTAATGCTACTTTTTAGAGCTTTTGCTATGTACATGTTGTGTGGGTAAGATACCTGGGGAACTTGCTCCTTCCCTTCCAAAAGTCAAGCAGACATGCGGTGGTGTCTTCTGGTCCACCTCCTGTACTTCTTATGGCTTTGGGAAGGGAATTACACAGATTGTCTATAGTTCAAGACATTGCTCAACGGTAATGTCCTTATTGACTGCTGACAGGAACGGCATGTGTCTCATCAAGATTTCACTAATCACTAATAACGGAAATGGTAGTTTTTCTAGAATTCTGAATATTTTCCTGGACAGTTTTCTTCCACTCCTCACTGATGCTTAAATCTTTCTAGTATCTTAGACCAGGGAGGTGTGGTCAGGGGAGGCAGGTGAGGCCTCACCTAGAATTATGGAGGAAAAAGCTGTCAGCTTCAAGTCTGAAGCTGACAGCTTTTTCTCCATTCAGATCAGATTGTTACAGAGCAGAGAATACCTCCCTGCTGATCTCCATTCAGATCAGATTGTTACAGAGCAGAGAATACCTCCCTGCTGATCTCCATTCAGATCAGATTGTTACAGAGCAGAGAATACCTCCCCTCATGGATGGAGTGCTGCCTGTTAATTACAGGCAGCGCTGCATCTGGCTTTTGACATGTAGTTAGGTTACACAGCAGCGGGCTTCCCCACTACTTGTGTAACCTAACTATTGAGGCAAGAGCTGTCACAGACTCTACTCTTTGTTAGAGGCGTGAGCTTTGTGGATGACATGGACCAATGGCAAAGCACCATTGGTCCAAGCTGTCCAATCAAAAAAAGAAAAAAAAAACCCCACTGAGGCCATCGTTCTCGATGCCTCAACAGTGAAGAGCAAGTGAGGGATGGGGAATGCCTCACTCAGAACAAGAGGTACCGCATGTCATTGCCTTAGACACACCACCCAGTTGTTTTAATCACCCTATCCTCTTTATTGCTGACAACACCTTTAGATCCTGGCGCCTAAATTAATCTCTACCAAGTGATCATATATCTTAAAAAATCCATGATTCCCTAATAGAATATTTCTCTGTTAACAAGGAAAACCTGGCATCTATGTTACTTCCATGGGAAGCACATAAGCCTGGAACCAGAATATTATTTATACAACATGTTTCCAATAAGAAAAAACACTTGGCCAAAATAGTAGCCTTAAAATACCAATTGTCAATTGAAATTAAATCTATCCTTTTTTATAACAATGAACTAGAAAATTCAGCATGAATTAAATGTATGCCTTACTAATTTAACTGATAAAAAATGTGCTGAGGGAATCCTATTTTTTATTCTAAAGGTAGTTATCCAGATTCCTTATTAGTAAACCTGATGCTGCTCCCTGACACCACCTCCAACCCTTTACAATTACATATTATTGGGACCCTATCTAGTTATCCTAAATCTAGTAATCCTGAAAAAACAGTAAAGGTTTCATTCTCGTTTAGCTGATTGATATAGAGAACTTGTGAACTTCTCAAACACAATAACATACACTTAACTTTCAAATTTATCTCTACCTAAACTTCTTGCCTCAGTATGAGATAAATTAGAACAATGAAATCCATGATGCCTGTGAACACTTAAATCATTTTAATTTTTTTCTAGGGGAAAAATGTAAATGTAAAAATGTAAATGAAAAAATGTAAATGAAAAATTTAAATGTAATACTAGTCTCATCAAAGGGAAGGATGTACACTTGGATATCCTAGAATACTATCATCCCATAAACATATATCCAGAATCTTTTTTAGAAAAAAGTGAATTTAAATGATAGCACCCAGGGGTAATACTAAACACAATTTGTTTTTATACAAATTTATAGGTCATTATTCAAAATTATATGTGTCAGCAAGTAAGGTATACTACAAAGAGCAAAAGGCAATTCAAGGGAAATACATATCTAAACAAATGAGCTAGAAGCATTGATAAACTCACAGATAGATGTTAAAATAGCACTTAGAAAAGCAATAGATCTTGTCACAAGGTGGTTAGATGGGACTCGGGAGCCAGCTTTCCTACCTGCCACTGTCAAAAAGAGTGCCTAATGCTGCCTTTTTCTCCTGCCATTTAAATCCCCTGCTGTTTTCGTCTAACTAGTTACATTAGTTCCAGCAGGTTCTCGTTTGTGGTTGCTGCTGGTTGAAGTCACTGGCTGGCTTTGTGAAGTCTCCTATAGTCTTCCCATGACCTATGATGCTCTTACTGAGCATGTGTAGGTGGTGGGGGGCGGCCACATCAGTGGCATGACGTCTTGGTGCTATGCATGCACCTCACCCTGGAGCACACACACTTCTGAATATTTACAGTGTATTTCTCTATTATGGAAAAAACATGCATTATTGAGAACTGGCTCTGAATCTTGCTCCACAATACCACTGCAGCTCAAAAGTGTAATGTAGGTATAACACAACCAAATCAGTGTGTGTCTGCCATATAAATAGTAAACCATTATTACGTGTACATAGATAGATATGTCATTTGCATTTATTTCCTTTTATTTTACCTGACATCTTGCGTTATTTAGTTGTCTCATTGATGTAAAAGTTGAAGCTCACTGAACAACCACAACTGCATGATAGATATTTTAAATTGCATGATATATAGTACGTGCGCATTAGGGCACTTACTGTCATGGCTCTCAATTCTAGAGTCATTTTTATATAATGGAACTGGTTAATTACACTGGAGAAATACAGACCTCAGAATACTTTGAAAAACAGTATATAGGCAAGCATACAGATACCTGGTGATAGTGAAACCATATGCTTTAAGATGCTGAGACACAGCTGTCACATTAATGTAAAACCCATTTAGCATTTTTGTCCAGCTCAGCAGAAAAAAAAGTCCTGCTCTATAACCACTTGCATTTTATACAAATCTTTGGATACTAGACTTTTTTTTACTGCGTGGGGTGACAGCATTACCAACAGGAGCAGCAAACTAGCAGTAACATTCCTGTCCCTATCATTTTCAGACTTTCTAAATCTGGCCCTCAATCACTTACAGCTCTAATACTTAACCTGCCTGTTTGTTGTTCTTGTGTGTTACACAAACTGCAGTGCATACAAAACATACAGCTCATCATGCTCCTGCATAGCTGTCATATGAGGGACCACCCATGTTCTCAACACGTGTCTTAAAAAGCTATTGTTTAAATAAAATAAATGAAAAAAGATGCATGCCCCCTTCTCCAAAAAGTAAAAGTGTAGCACCCAAAAGAATATGAACATGTTCCTTCAGCTGTGCTTACACCAGTCCATATGCCACCCTACACCATTTTATGTTTTAAGAGGAAGTGGCCAAAGAATAAGTGTATTTTTACTCCTGGAACAGCTGGTACAGAAAAGAGGTGCGCATGAAATTCTGCAAAACATAGGCCAAGTAGAAGGTGCACACCTAATTCAATAAATAACCTGACATTTTATTGTTTTTGGAGGATCCTGGACTCATAGCAGTTTACTAAGTTTTCTAAATACTGTAATAACAAATGCATGGCTTGTCTGCCCTCACTTAAGAGTCAGAACTGAAAGACTAGCAGTTGAGCAGTAGCTTATACTAGGGATGCACCGATACTAGTATTGGTATTGGTGCCGATACTGGGCAATTTCATGAGTACTTGTACTCGTAAAAATGCCCTGATACTAAGCGCTGATACTGGTGCTGTAAATTCTCAAATAGATTCAGCTGTCTGAGGTTCTGCAGTTCCTGGGGACCTCAGGCAGCCTGCTAGGGACCTCGCAGCAGTTGTCTTTGACAGCGCCGGTCTGGCCGCAGATCTCCTTCCTGCTGCCTACAGAGACCAGCACAGCCATGGAGAGACCCACATGCAGCCCTGGAGAGACTTGAACGCAGCCCTGGTGAGACCTGCACAGCCCTGGTTAGACTGCACGCAGCTCTGGTTAGTCCGCACACAGCCCTGGTGAGACCCCTGCACATCCTCCTGAGTCCGCACAGCCCTGGTGAGACCCCACACATACTCCTGAGACCCTGCACAGCCCTGATGAAACCCTACACAGTCCTGGTGCACACAGCTCTGGTGAGACAGCTCACAGCCCTGGTCAGTACTGGTACTCTGTCTAGAGAAAATGGTATTGGTACATCCCTAACTTATACCATATGAACATGCAGATGAAGGTAGAGAAAAGGAAGTTGATTAACTCCATTAACCATTAGCAGAGGGGATGTGGTGACATTGACATTAATGCTAGATCCTGTAGGAGCAAGATTAAAAGGGGGATTCAGAAGTTTGAGCATTGTTTCATCAAAATGTGCAAAGGTCTACTAGTGTATAAGAGTAATTTTAGAGTCCAAAATAGTATTAAAAGAACAAAGATGGTGAAACCTAAAGCAGTTTATGTGCAGCCATTTAGACCTACAAAGCAAACTAAACTTTCTTAGAAATGTCCTTTTTATGTGTTCATTAATTGCGCATTTCAAAATGCATTGTGCGTTATGTCTAGTCAAATCTTTGTTGACTTTCAGGATGGGGACCCTGTCAGGCCAGGTGTGGCTATGACTGACCTTGCAACAGGATTATATGCACATGGAGCCATATTGGCTGGATTACTACAAAAAAGCAAAACAGGGAAAGGAATGCACATTGACTGCAATCTACTTTCTTCACAGGTAAGCAAAAATGTTTTCGTTTCTTAAAACTTTGCTTCCTTCGAATGTTGAAGTATCAGCCAAATAAGAGACATTTACAGGGTTATTCACAAAAGGGTGAAGAGTTTGGAATGAGATTTGGGTTCAGTTCAACCATGAGTTCCACCTGAACTCAAGTAATTTGCAGTTGTCAAAGTAATGCGATCATTCACCTCCACAGAAACCAATTACCATTCATGCACTTCCTGGCATTTGAACTTTGGTCAGGCGGCTTAGAAGGGCCAATAATGGTGGCTTTCATATGTGCCACCCCCCTCTCTACAAAAGTCAAGAGTTCCCAGCAGCCTTTTGACAGTGTGTGGGGAAACTTGGAGTTGATAGGGACAGCTGACAATGTTTTTTTAAAGGGATATATACTGTGGTTGCTGCAATACATTGCTATACAGTGCTATATACAGAGCTAGACAGTGCTATATATAGTGCTGTATTGTTCTACATAACAGTAAATTGTTTTATGTTGGGTTACATATTGTGTAGGGTATCCCCCACTGTGTTCACTGCTGTGTTGTGCAGCCATACTGAGAATTGCATTGTGGTGGGCTATGTGACGGACCCCCGTACTCAGGATGAGTATGTCCACCGCTGTCTTCTTCCTTTCTCTGGAGATATTGCAACCTGAAGATCTTTAGCTCTCAGTTTCCCCAGTCACTGGTTGAGACTCAAGTGTAGGGTGAAATTGAGCAACTGTGCAACCTTTTATACAGCAAGTGATGAGATCAGATTATAATCCCATCACATCCACCCTGCCTTCCCCAGACAATCTGTCTTCATAACACCACAGGGTTTCCCCTGCTAACGAGCTCCAGGCAGCCATAGCAGGAGTCTGGCCAGAATGTCATTGTTCTGAGCTCCTTCAGAGAACAATGGGAGATAACGAGGGATGGCGCTGACAGTCTTTTCATAACCAGGTTACTCAGTATAACAGTAGAAAGGCATCATGGCACACTCACAAACCAGCATGTAAAACAACTTGTCTCACCACTAAGGACAATGACAGAGGTTTGGATACACGTCTTCTGCAAAGGATGTGTAAGCCGCACTGCCGCGCCAAGGCACCTCTTATAGTGCGGTCCTAACTCTAAACTATGAGAGTCTCCATCTTGGAGCACATGGGGGCAGAAGATATCAAATTGGGTGCAGGCCTGTCAGGAGGACGCCCCACCTCCTTAAAGGTACAGAAACACACAAGGGATCCCGCACATCCCATTGGCAGCTGAGAAACCCCATGCGTCGCTGCACCAAATCGGTAAAGCAAAACAAACGACAAACGCACTCAGTATAACGCACTCAAACATAACTCAAAACCAGTACACATTTAACTCATAAAACTGATTACCATGTCGTCACAGGCTATATATCAGTGATTCTCAACCTGTGTAACCTCAGGACCCACATTTGTCCTTGGTCATTAGGTTGTGAGCCAAGTTGCACTGCAATGTATCTGACAAGCACACATGTGTAAAGTTCATAATCAGCAACCCGGGTTGAAAAAAATTCTCATGCACCATACATATAAAACCCACAGGTATGCTGACCACCATTGGTAATAGTTGCTTCAATATATGGAAAAGGATAGATGTAATTATTTCTCCTTCACAGAGGCTGTGTGCCAAGATCCGCTTAGTGGACAGATTGTGGATGGTTGCTCCCCTGGCATGGCGATATTATGATCCCGGCTATGTCATTCAACAAGAACTGCTTGGAGCTCACATGTTGATCCAGCCATCCACAATCTGTCCACTAAGCGGATCTCGGCACGCAGCCTCCGTGACGGAGAAATAATTACATCTATCCTTTTCCATATATTGGAGCACCTATTACCAATGGTGGTCAGCATACCCATTGATTTCATATGTATTGTGCATGAGGATTTTTTGAACCCTGGTTACTGATTATGAACTTCACACCTGTGCTTGTCAAATACATCTTCTTTGCCGCATAGATCCGTGATCTCTATGGCTGTGTGATCTGGACATTTGGCGGTTCACCCAAATCCGAAATATCAAATTTACCATATGTCCGAATATCCGTAAACTATATTTGGGCATATATAAATTTGTTTCCAGAACGTGTGGTTGCCATATTGGTGGAGCGCGTGACGTCACACAACGCTGCGCGGGGCGGCATCGGGTGACGTCATACGCATGTTTGGGTGCCGCCATCTTGATGCATACCAAGATATATGCCAAGATGGTGGCGCCCAAACATGCGTATAACGTCACCCAATGGCGTTCATGCGCAGCGTCATGTGTAGTCATGTGCTCCGCCTCCAAGATGGCCGACGCACGTTCTGCAGTTTCAATGTGCGGTTTCGGATTCAGAGGCTTTTTGTCTTAGAATCAACATAAAAATTATTTTCATTTGACTAAATGAATGAAAATGTTTTTATTACATGCACATGCCTAGTTGTTACATCTCAGATGTGGATCCTTTACAAGCGTGATTGAATAATTCATATAAGTCCATGGGAGTGTGTTGCATTCCCACTAGGGATGCACCGATACCGATACTAGTATCGGTGCCGATGCCGAGTATTTGGGTGAGTACTCATACTCTCCCAAATGCTCCGGGGCCTTGCCCGATACTTGAGCTTCCGATATCAGGAAGCTGGGCAGCGAGTCATTACACGCTGCCCGGCTTCCTTTGTGGCAGGGAATTGATCTTCCCAGCCAGTCAGGAAGCCGGGCAGCGCGACATTACATGCCCCCCGGCTTTCTGATTGGCCAGAAAGCTGTCTTCATGCTCCCTCGTCACCTGGTGACGAGGTAGCATTGAGCCGGCTTCTCGACCAATCAGGAAGCCGGGCAATGCTTCATTACACGGCGCCCAGCTTCCTGATTGGCCAGACAGCCAACCTGGTTGACAAGGGAGCATGCAGACGGCTTCCCTGCTAATCTGGATGCCGGGTGGTGAGTCTTTACACGCCGCCCGGCTTTCCGACTAATCAGGAAGCCAGGTGGCGAGTCATTACACGCCGCCTGGCTTCCTTAATGGGACTTTCGGTATCGGCTAGTACGGGAAAAAATATATTATTACTCGATACCGAAAAAACGGTATCGGTGCATCCCTAATTTCCACCAGATATGGACTTGAGATGACTATTAGACCATATGAATATGTGCAATTCTAGCAGTCTTGAATTTTTCACATGAACTCATATTTATTGAAATGTTTACATATTTATTTCGAGAGATGTTGTTGATAGCATTAAATTATGCAATAAAGTAAATAACAATAAGGTTGTTTGTTGTTATATAAAGTTTGGGACTTAGATATCCTATTTTGAGATTTCTCTATGGGAGATTATGAGAAAACTTAATATTTAGATTAAAGAGATGCCCATATAGGACTGTAATAGTATTATACGGCAGGTTTTACATCAGCAGGGCAAAGTGGTGGTCAGGCTGCACCTTTGAGCATTAGGGCATGTTGGCCTTTTCTTTTTTTGGCAGTGGGCATGCTATACAGTCGGAGCACATGGAGGAAATCATGGCATGTCTAACCATGCCTACCTTATCCTCCTCCTCCTTCCAGACGCAGAGCAGAAAATTTTCATCAGCAGCTGCGAATGCGTCTTCTACTTCCTCCTGCACTACAGCTAATTTTGTTGTCCTGCAAATTGGCATGGAGGAGTCAACTAAATTATTTAAGCACAGCGTGAGTAACTTGATACAGGTAAATGTTCCAGAATTCTTGTTATGGGATTTAGAGGAAAAGATTGCTAAGAGCATAGAGGGTGGAAACAACAGGGAGAAGCAATTGCCATTGATGTTCCTGCAGGCCATATGTCAGCCCGAGAGGAGTGGAGGAAGCAGCCATCCTAGTCCAACAGATGTCACTGCCCCCCACATTCAGGCCACTGCTGTCACAAGGGCTGCTCATATAGTTTACATATATCAGTAAGCTTGGCTTTTTTAACCACCTCACGGCCGGCCGTTGTAAAAAAACGGCCGGCCGAGAGGTCTCTAGATCTGAGCGGGCGTCTTTAGACGTCCGATCAGACACGCCCCCTCGTGCGCGCCGCTCGGCGCGCACGAGCGGGAAATGGCCGTTTTTTAAAAACAGGCAGCGATGCCTGTTACCATACAAGCGATCCGCTGGCTGTAGAGCCGGCGGATCGCTTGTATGGTGTGCCGATCGGTCTCCCCCTCCACGGTTCCCCCCCAGTTGTTCCGCTGATCCCGGGCTCCGGTGTGCCCGGTGCAAGCCCGGGATCAGCATTTCGGGTGTGTTACAGGGGATCAGAGGGAGCTCGGTACACGAGCTCCCTCTGGTCCCCTCTCCTCTGCAAGAATGAGGAAGTGTTGTGTAATACATCACTTCCGCATTCTTGTGTCACTCTCCAGCTTCAGAAGCTGGAAAGAAGCTGATGGAGCAGATCTGTGCTTCATCAGCTTCTTTTGGGGGGTCCTAGGTGACATTAGGGGTCTTGGACCCCTGATGTCTCCATAAAGAGGACCTGTCACATATTTTGCTATCACATAGGGGAGTTTAATTAGCCCCCGTAATGTGATAGCAATAAAGTTTAGTGAAAAAAAAAGGAAAAAAAAAAGGAAAAAAAAAAATTAAGTTCCCCCCCCCCAAATTTAAAGTTACACATAAAAAAAGAATTAAAAAAACAAAAAATTTTTTTAAAGTCCCCACCCATACATACACGCATGCAAACATGCGTCGGGGGCGCATACGTGCAAAAAAGACGATTGCGCCCATTACGCCGCACATGTTACATATCGCCGCGAACGTCCGAGTGAGAGCAATAAGTCTAGGGCCATCAATCACTGATAACACTAAACTGATGAGCGGTAAAAGCTTTTAAAGTGTCGCCTATGGCCAATTTTGGGTATGGTAGTTTTCTGCGATTTTAAAGCTTGACATGTTTGGTGTCTATTTACCCGACGTGACCCGATTACCCGACGTGACCCGATCTTTTATATTTTACCAAAAAACTG